CAATCAGGCAGGAACATTAAGGATGTTCTTGATGCAGTTTTCTTGTAGAAGATGCTTAACGGGGTTTTGAGAAAATAATCATTTATTGCTTCTTGGAGGAATTTTTAATAGCGATTATGTGGTTTGAAGTTGAAATTCAGGAAATGATTAAATGCACTGCTGAAGATGGAAAACTAGTATATACAGGAATGAAATGTGGCGTCAGAATAATGATAAGGGAATCCAAATCATTCCTCGAATGATCCACGTCTTCATCTTTTTAAGTTCTATGATGAAATTAATATCACTCGAAGTCATTAAAACTATTCTGAAGATATTGAATCCCAAATGATAATCTTGACATAGTAGCGATGTGAAAGCGACTCCTTGTTGAATTTTTCTGTCCTCAAAGCTGTCTTGTGACTTATAGCAACGTCAAGGCAAGAATTTGCCCTCACGTCACTACCATATCAACATAAACCTACTGTCGCTCGAGATCTCAAGATAATAAAATCTTTGTTACCTTCGACCAGTTTCAAGTGCTACCTGGGGCACCCTACCTTAGTCTCAGATTAATTTTATTTATGTCCCATATTATACCCAAATGGCGCAAGTCGGTTAATCGAATTGAAAGCTGGCGCCGGGCTAGCATGACTCTGGCATGGTGCTAGCTTTGATTTTAATCCATCACCATGCCAGAATCACACCGGCTTGGTGCCTGATTTTTGATCGACTTACCAACTTGTGTCATTCGGGATAGCGCATCGAATTTAATTTTTACCCTAGGGTGCCCGGATAGACCTAGAAACCGGTTAACAAGATCAATAATTAACGGCTTATGTTGACTTCCCTACAACAAAATGTCCTCAAATGCTATCTTTCTGAGATCGAAGCTACTGCTTAGCTCGACTTAATTTAGCCGATGAAATAAGTTGACTAAGAAGATTTCGAAGTAAAAACAAAAAAAAATGCTCAATTTAAAGGCATGAATTCTAAACAAAAATCCATCCCCTTTAACTCTACAGCCACAATTATTCTGATAAAAACTTCCTTTCATCCTCTCCTTCAAGACACAATTATTGTGTGTACACATTCACTTGAACAGCTCTCTTGTCACAAAAGAAAATTTCTTTTCCTTCTTAGCTTTCTTTTCTGTGAATATAAATGCTTGTTACTTAGGTTATTTATATGTATTTCAAATATAACACTGACTGACTCTTCATACCAAGAATGGGGGAGAGAAAAAAGCTTCAGCAACAACAAAAAAAAAATAATGAAATGGCAAAAGAATATAAAGAGCATGGAACAATAACAACAATCATAAGCAAATACTGTGATAACGAACAGAAAAGAGAGAGAATGTGTACGCATATATGAGTACATAACAGAAAATTTTTTATTCAATTATATTTGTTGTAGCAATTTGTATTCGATTCGCATTCACGACATTATTTTCCATATAACCGTCAGTCGACGCAAATGAAAAAAAAAGTAAGAAAAAATGTAATGAAAAAAAAAAAGTTTTTCATTTACTTTGAAAAGACATGAGCAATAAAGCAGATGAATTGAGGATGGAAGTTGATTATTAATCGATCGTTTGGAAGTTCGTTTAAAGACTTTTAAATTTGTTTAAATTGAATTAGCTCGGATGGCGTGAATTAAATTTATTTGCTGAATTGTATGAAATTATTTTTATACCAAAGCTGAGAATTCCACTTTATTGAGGCTCAAGATGGGTATATTCAGATGTTTTTTGGAAGGTTGGGGTTGTATCGATCATTATAGAACCTTAAAGATGGAGGGGGTATCGATGATGCATTGTGTAGATCTTCTTTTAACTGCTATATGTGTATACAAATCTAAAACAAGTTGGATTTGATGAGAATCGAACTCAATACCTTAAAAGAGGCGATCTCTGACCACTCGATCAGAATACCATCGAGGCATATATCTCACTTCGGCTATTCGTCATACATATAGAAGCAGTTTCAATGCGAGCCCTATGCTCAGGCCTATCTTCTACAGATATGCTCTTCGAGCCATATCCACACATTGCTAAAACATACAGGTTGCTACATCATCAATAGATCATGTAGTCATGACGTCAATCTATACACAACATTGAATTCATTAATATTTTTCACGTAATCTGTAACATAATCAGTATAAAAGCTGAATTTATGTTTTTTTCCATGATAATTAAACAAAAAAAATGTCAGCAAAAGCCTCGGGATATACCATATGACATGCGAATAGTTTGTTGACAAATGGAATATTGTACTGGATGTTCTAAAAATAATGATGGAAATGTTGATGAGTTGAAGGACGTATGACGTTAATACACTTTTTAATGTGATGCTTTATGGGGCCTCGAAAATGGAAGAACATGGAATATATATTGAATTTTACTGAAATCATCACATTACGGATTTGGGGGGGGGGGGGGGGGGGCGGGGGGGGGGGCGGGGGGGGGGGGTCTGAGATTTTATGACAGTTCAAACAAAAGAACTATTTCTTCATACATATTTTGTGACAAAGGGTTGAGGGGGTCTTCAAATTCATTTTCTAGCGAAACGTAATAAATAAACGAGTCCCTACTTGGTTACTAAAAACGACATAAACCCTTGAGAAAACTAATTACCAGAGATGAAGAAGTAGGTTGGGGTCCATTTCATACAAAAATGTCTAACCCTTCTCCAAAAATAACTAGCTTCGCCCCTCCTATCTTAATATTGAGAAATCAATCAAATTTTCCATAAATCGTGATAAATTAATTTAAAAAAAAAAAACAATAATTTCTTCAATTAATATTATTTTTTGCCCAATCTGTAGGCATTCTATCATCACTGTTTGAGACCCAGTCTGATCTATTAATGAATATTCAATCAAAATTACCATTATTTTCCTGAATTAAATTAAACTTCCGAACATGCAAAAAAAATTAAATTCTGCTTTCTTTTCAAAGAACAACCTCAAGCTTCACAAAATTCTCAATTGAATTTGCCTTAAAAAAATAAATTAATTAAATTATTCACAATGTAAGCATATTCAACGCACGTTTAATTTACAAAAGCATTAAATTTAATTATTCACCACGTGTAACTAATTTATTCGAGTCAAAAATTAATAAATCTTTTGAGTACAAAAAAGAAATCAATTATCCAACATATAAATATTATGGCACAAACACAAAAGCTTTATTTATCAAAATAAATGAATTATTTATGTAATATACGTCTAAGGTTTCTGAGTAATCTCTCTTATCCTCTCCCGCACAAAGCTTTGTGCATGTAATACAATCAATTTTATATTAAACCTTGCTTCAATATTTCACAGAGAAGAGTTCATGATAGAAATTCAATTTGCTCAGGAGAAAAAAAAAATCTTCAATTTTCCTTTGCTTTGATAAAAGGGTCGATTGTAAATGACGTCAATCAAAATTTAGGATTTCTTTCAAAGTTCCTTAATTTCCATAGAATCTTTTGTATCAATTCAGACCCCCCAATTTTAAATTTCAAACATCACATAGCGACTTACCACCTGCAACTTTATTAGGATTCCTGCACTGGATATGCTTTAGTATTTTTAAATAGATTGCTTTTTAGCTTTACTAGACTTCAGCAAAAGAAATTACTCGGATGATTCTCAAAGTTGATTCTTTTGAGAGGAAAAAATTTAGATATAAAAATAGTTTTTCAGTAAAATAGTTTAGATGCTAGCTTTGCTTCTTTTATTGTTTGGAAAGGAAGACTTAAGAAGCCAATGAATGCAGTGACTAGAGTTTTTTTTTTCAAAAAAAAGTTAAATGTGATTTCGAAAAAGTTGAGGATAAAGTTGATAATATGAAAAAGTTTGAATGATATTTAAATGCATTCTTTGGTGGACATAGATAGTACGCAAGCAGAGAGTGACTTATGTCTTTTCTATTGACAAATGATTTTGATAATGACTTGACTGTTCAAATCAATGACAACCTTAGCTGCTTGAATTTTTGGTTGTGTTGAAAATTTCAAAAGTTGTGGACTCATCAGTTCTCAGCAATTTAATTCTATAACCTCAAAAAAAGAGCAAGACGTTCTGTTGAGTCTATTACTTTAATTAAGTCAATTCAATTCATCTTAAATTGTGTAACAGTGTTACTAAACTTTTAAGCGCTACAATATTATCCTTAAATCTATATTATGTACGCTAGCTCAGTGTATAGCGCATAATCTTCACTAAGCAGTTGTGTGTCCAGCAGCCAATTAAAAACTGTTTTTAGATCTTAGAACTAGTGTTCATGTCGGCTCTCGTTTCAATTTTCAATAGGTCACAATGTCTTCAGGTTCATTCCTGTAAAAGCCTTCCACGGTGAATTTACGGCTCTCGTATCTTTCTCATTCTGTCTACATAATTCTTGACCCATTCCTACATCTGACATCGCTCAATTAAGTTAAAAAAAATAAATATAAGCTATTCATACCTTAAGATCCATAGCTGCGCGTTATATTCGTTTCGAGGCTAATGATAGTTTGCCAAGAGAGAGTGTTCGCCTGACCTCTCGCTCAAACCTAGGCATACCGTTTAAAATTGGATCCGAACCACTCCTTTGATGACATTTCTGCCTGGAGCCTACAAAAGAAGGCTGTGAGCCGCATTTCCAGCTCCAATGATACAAAAAATGCATGTAAACGTTCTTCATGCCATGTCACTTGGAACTTCACAATAAAAGCTTGCACTCGATAACTCAGCCAACATATTTCAATTTAAAAATGTTCAATCACGTCAGCTTAACAACAAATTTACATTTCCTTAATTTTAAACATCCATTTTTTGATGGAAACAAAATTAAATTTTCACTCGCCAAGTTTTTTTTTTTGTTGCTGGAAGATTGAAAATGTGAACACTATCCAAAAAGTTGTAGCAAGAAATCACAATATCATGCCATATCAATTATTAATCGTCATCATCTGGCGATTAATTTTTCAACTAGAAACTTTTCTATTTCCTCAACTTTTCAACTCACTTCCGTTTTATTTTAGATATGAAGCCTGCTATTAAAAATCATTATCGCGGTCATAAATTATCAATGTGGCTGAGTCTCATACCGCAAATTCATTCACCTGGAGATTCACCGGATCTATCAATGCGCCATCATCATTTCATCGAGGAAAATCCTCAATTTTATGACGGTAAGCGGATATTGCCAATTAAAATTACGTTCCATAATGTTTTTTGATGTTTCCGAGGTTTTTTTTACGCTCTCTCGTCTGCTTCTGTTTTAATGGACGTTCAGAAGCTGTGTGATGCTTTTTGTGGGTACTCCTTCCTGTCCCTCTTAATATCCTGTTAAGTTTTTTTCAACTTCCTTCAATATTTTATATAAAATTATGTCTGGGGGTAGATTTGAGTACCCAATATGCTCATATTTAGCATCACACAATATCTGAACGTCCCTTCACAGAATAGAAGAGCCATGTCTCCTGCTACTAGTTTTGTAAACACATTTGTACATTCCATCCACATATTTTCGTCTTCTTATATCTCTCACCTTTTTAATACTTAAAGGTAAAGTGCGATTACAGAGATTAGAACGTCCGACTGTCATTAAAATCAGTGCACCGTTAACAACAGCTACTCCTAAACATAAGACTGAAAAAACACCATCTCCTTTAATGCCATCAATGACAACTGGTGAGTAAGAAAACATTTCCACATATGGACATAGACATTCACTTCTTGAGATTATTTTTCTGTTTGTACGCTCAATATAATCTTATGTAACATTTCTTTCTTCTTCTGTAAGTTTGATGTTTTATTTAACTGTATTATTTTCTCTATGGGCGCATTCTTTTGGAAGTTATAGTGAGATTGCATGTTCAGTATGACTTATTGACTGGAAGAATTATTTTGCTGGAAATCTTTTGACATCTTTTGTGATGAATAAGTTCATAGGGTTAGGAATCACAAAGGCATCTACAAAATCAATTCAATCCCCTTTACTGTAGGCAAAAGGAAATCCATCAAGCAGAAAGTTAAAGCTTTTAAAGGAAAATCAACAAAATCATATTCCCGATCGGCAAACAGTGAAATTCATTGAAATATTCGCCACACTGCAGCCGGGTTGATAATGTGATTAGAACCAAACGACAGCCAATTGGCAATGCCAGGCACGGGACAAACATTTGACATCCACTTGGAAATGGCTGTCAAGCAGCAGCCACTTAGTTCTAATTGAACTATCAACTTAGTTGACGTGTGGAAAACATTTCAAAGTGTACCGATCGGGATTCAGGTAGACTCGGCACTAATCAAACAAAATGAGTAATTAAGCAAACAACATATGGTTCTCTTTTAGCTAACGAAGAACAAACAGAATGACTAATTGACTTGATCATGTAAAATTTAGTAGTGTGTACTTTTTTGTGTCACGGCGCACCTCGAGTAAGCCATAATCGAAGTCGCTCACTGCTAGCGGCTCATTTTATTTTAAAATGTGCCGTAGCACACAGTTTGGCAAACACTGACCTAAATGAATGACTCAATCTCAAGCTATAACTTTGGGTTCGTTCAGTAATGACGTCCAAAATTAACGGTCATTTTTCAAAAAAGAACAATGGATTTCCAGGAATTTCTATTGTTCTTTTCTTGCTGACCCCCCCCCCCCTTAGACGTCGTAAGTGAACGGCCCAATTTTTGTTACAACAAAAAATGCGCTCTAATTATTATATCCATTATGATTTCTTCTTACTTTTCTATTTTCTTCTATTCAACTCCACATGTGTGTATATTTGTGTGGATGTCTAAGTCCTCTAACAAATTACTTATTGACCAATCCAATAATATATCCATTTACTTTGTCGAATGTATTTACACATTTTGACTTTTATTAAATTTTTTTCTGCTTCCTTTTTCTCTTTTCCTTTGTTCAATAACAACTTGATGTCATCTTTTTTCATTGTCATATTCTCTTTTCCTTTTATTTCTACTTCCATCATCATTCGACCGTACGACGAAAATCTGTATGAATATTTCTGTTGGGGTGGATAAACATAAAACATTTCATATGGACTATTATGAATATATCCCAATAGAATGTCCATCAAATACCACAATTGTTCCGACACTGGCAGCAACTCGTCCACATCAGAATCAGGATAATAATAGCAACAATAGCTTATTTAGACGATTGACAAGCAACAGCCAATATCAAAGCTATGCAACGGCCTTAACTGTAACAATTGCTGTCGGATGTTTTTTATTGCTATTGAATGTTTTCATCTTTGCTGCAATATATTATCAACGTGAGAAGCGAGCGACATATACGAAGAAAAAAGAGGAATTGACTGAGGCGGAGCATCATCATTCGTCATCATCACCAAGTCTTGAGCGATATCAGCAGAAAGGTAGTCGTAAGTCAAGTTTACAAAGCGTATCTGGTACGACTTTTGGTGAATATAGCTGTTATGATGAGAAAATACGATGCAAAGAGAAACGAGCTCTCGTTGATTTGTGCACCGTTGAATTGCCAATGCAAAAATATAAATATTCGCCACCATGTGGAAGTACAACTGGAAGTATACGACGATCAATCACGCCCGAGAATTATGGACATAAACATACGATGATGGATTCAACAACACAAGATAGTTACACAATATTACCGACATACTCAACACCGCAGATTAATGATTCAAATAATCTTGTTACATACCGTTCCGTAATTGTACCGAAAGCTGAATTATGTAATCAAGCGACACAAGCCGACTCCCCACCGAGAGTGCACGATGCAAGCACAATTGTTGATGAGAACGATCAAGATTTAAATCCCATAGATAATTTACCAGTGGATATACCACCACCACCACGTTCATCCCTACAATCGGGTATTTTGCGGCAAGGAAGTAACGCACCAACAACTCCCGGCACCGCAAAGAAACGTGTACAAATTCAAGAGATTTCTGTTTAAAATTTTTTTTAAATGTTAGTTCCAGTTCCTTCTCATCATCATCATTGAAATTCTATTCAAAAATGAAAAATTTTGTTTATAAACTTTTCTTGTTGCCGCAAAATTGACCAGAATGTATGATGCATGCCAGCAAAAAAAGAACTTAATTAGTAAGAGAGAAAGTTTGCTGATGAAGAGCTTTTTGGAATGTTTTGAAACAAGTTGAATTAAAGTTTTATAAGATCGAGAGTTTGAGGGGATTTGTTATTTTAAATTTTTTTGTGGCAGAACATGAGAGTTTGGATGGACGATGAGGATGTGGATGTTCATTGAAAAGTTTATTGTTAGATGAATGTTTCTTAAAAATGTTGGAATTCTTGATGATTTTTTTGGGAAGGGGAGTTGAAAAAGAATCGTCCAAACTGATAGCATTACTGAAGATTTGAACAGAGTTGAAAACAGGCAACAGAGTTGAACTGTCACAGGCAATCACCTGTCACTTACCTGTTAACAGGCAGTGTCTGTCTGTGACAATATTTGTTTGCCTGTCACAGACAAAGATATCTCAAATCTCCCCACAGATACAACTAGTGATCGAAGTCGCTTAAATCGGTGACATTTTTAACAGGAACTGCCTGTTAACTGACAATATCTGGGACAGATCTGTCACCTCTGGGTGTGGCAGGCAAACTGTACCACAACTCTGGTTTAGCAACGATTTTTTTTGAAAATATGAGATTTTAGGGTTCTTCCACGAAGAGGCTGTTTACTTATTACGTTCACATTTTAGATAGAGGGGGGGGGGGGGTGTCTTGCATTTTGTATCAGCTCAAACAAAAAAATCCACATAAAACTTGTAACTTTAAAATAAAACCATTTCTTTGCAACCTTCCCCCACCCCCCCCCCCCCCCCTCCCCCCTCCCCTACCCCTACTTGTCAAATAATTTCAAGTTAAGCCTTTAAATGCAATATCCAGCTCAATTTTCTCATTCATAAAATATATTCAAATCATTGAGTTTAAAGTTTCTTCCTTCATCCTCATTCTAAACATATCCGCTCAAAATTCTATCTCAAAAGAACATTTTCATCTCATCAAATAGTAGAAAAACTCACTGAAAATTTGATCTCAGAGAGTGTTTACACAAAAGCACTTATACATCCACTGGGTGTCCTTGTATTATGATAAATTCATAAACTGTCATATGGGCAATTTTTCTTAGCTGTTGACATAAAGACAAATTTACTTAAGACTCAAGAAAGAGCTTAATCATGAAAGATTTTTTTGTGCAGACATTTGTAATGTTTATCACTCGAGAATATCATTGTTACGGATTTAGAGATCTTCTCCTAATGAAGGTTTAAGTAGATTATTTAAATATCTGCAGAGCATGAGAATTCAGATAAAAGCTTTTCGAAATAATTCTGTCAAAATTGGTCATTGAAGGTTTTAACAGAAACTTTCATAAGCTTTTATGAAGGACAAAGTAATTTACTTTTCCAGATGAGAATCATTAAAGCTTAGGCAGAGTCTTCTTTATTGTTATTTTTATCATGAATTGTTGAAATTATAACACTTTGTTTAGGATTGTAAGCTGAAGTTTTGATGATTATTGCTGTTTGTTATTTTAATTACTTTTTTCGGGATGGATTAAAAAGTCATAAACATTGATTTTTATGTTTATAGGATTGATTACTATTTGATTATCATTAATTAGATTAGATATGAAATTTATAATGATCTTGTTTGAAGTGATGACATAAAAAAATATATTAATCATGATTTTTGGCTATAACTCCAATGGAGGGGGGTAGCAAGATGGTCTAGAAACCGTAAAATCTTTTTAACACCATCATCAGGGTAGGAGCACGGCACAATCCACAAAAGTCTGAATTTGAACTTGATTAATCATTGTACAAACAGCAAGTTCATAGCTATACTTTCTTCATTGGGGGGAGGGGTTTGGATGGACAAATTTTGGGGGCTTAGGGATTTTTGTCTCAAAAAATCCTAGCAAATTAAACAAAGTTTTCCAAAAAGAGGAGAAACTATGTTTCTTAGCAGACTGTCGATAGAAAGGGCGTAGCCAGGGGAGGTCTATACGTGCCCAGGCATGCCCAGAAATTTTATTATTGCCAAAAATCAATAACACCTTCTCTATTCGATCATTAAAAGCAAATTTAAGAATGCAACATATATTTTAGCCAAGGCATGGAAACTCAGGATTAATCCTGAACAATCCCAAAATCCTTAAATAAAATCCCTGAGCCAATAAACATGGAAATGTGAACTCCCTTTTAAATCCCAAAGTTATTCATTAAATTAATCAGGAATTTAAATGGGATTTCACATTTCCATGTTTATTGGCTCAGGGATTTTTTAAGGATTTTTGGGATTCTTCAGGATTAATCCTGGGTTTCCACGCCTTGATTTCAGCACTGCTACTAAAAACCCTTGTAAGACGATCCATCAAATAATAAACAAACACAAAAAAAATTTAATATCAAATCAAACAATATAAATGAATTTGAAATTAAAAACTCTTTGAAAGCATTGAAGCTATTTTCAGACAATTCCATCCTACACAAAACATATTAAGCTCATTGTCTCATATGAAATTTTATATTTGTTGACTTTAAAACTTGGTTGTGATGAAAAAGATAAGTTTATTTAAATCATATAAAGTTTTCAGAAAATTTACATTTTATATTATTTTTTGGGGGGCGTTTGCAAATGACGTTGATGGGGTTATTTGTGGAAAAACTGTGAATCAGCTTCCTCCATACGTCATTTATAAACGACTCCACAAAAATCCCTTAGTAAGATGTTATTCAATACATATGGTGATAAACGATGATGCCTGTTGATGGATCACAGATGCTATTTTTATTATATGAGAAAATTCAACCTTTTTAAGTCCCTTTTGAAAGCTCACATTTGTAGACGTAAATAAATATGAATAAAATTTTTTTTTTCCTGACGATGGTGATGATGAAGATGATAAAAATATTGTTAATTTCTTACAAAGTCTTTTTTTAAATCCCAAGAAAATCACAAAAAAATGCTGTTAATTAAATTTACAAGACGATGAAAAGAAACTTTTTGTCAAATGATAAAAAAAAATATAATAAAAATTTTATGTGTGTTAAAAACAACAAAAATGAACTGTGAATGAACCAAAAATTGAGAAATTTATTTTAAAGCACAAAAAACCCTCATAAACTTGAAGAATGATAAAGTTTCTTAAGAAATAATTTTTTTCCACACTCATGTTTTTCATTTACACACTCCACACCCCCTCCATGCATCCCCAATCTCTAATTTACTTCCAGAAGTTGAGAAAAATGTTGGAATTATTTTAAGAATAAAATAAATCTAATACTTTGGATGTCTACCAAAAGTTGTGGATTATTATTCTTCTTCTTGTTATTTTTTGTATCTTCTTGAGAAAAATTTGTTATTTTTTTTGTTGTGAGCTTATGTAAAAAGTTTTGTTCCTTAATATTTGATGCAGGGTTGAGAATTTATTACTGATTTTGTAAAAATAATTTATTTTGAAGTTTTAATTGCGCTGTGATTTTTTTGTTACTAACTTGGTCAATTCACTTAGGGGATTGTTCATAAATGACGGTTAATTTTTAAAATCAAAAATTGAATTCTATTGTTCTAGAGCTCTTTACCACCTCCCTGTGATGTCATTTATGAGCGGCTCTTTTTTAAGATAAGGGGCTGTTCGCCAATGACGTCCAGGGGGGGAAAGAGGGAGGCCAACAAGAAAAGAACAAAAGAAATTCATGAAAATCCATTTTTGTTTTTTGAAAAATGACCTTTAATTTCATAATTGACTTCAACTAAGTTGTAACAGAATCATTTATCTAATGTTTAAGGAATGAAAGATTTAATTTGTAATTTCAAAAATTATAGCTTTCAAATCAAAATTTAATAAATATTTTAATTGATCCACAGAGAATTTTGTTTACAAAATCAAGCTTTGACCCAAATTTTCTTTTTGAACAACTCTAATGTTAAATAGTTAAAAGGAATCAATGCTAGAGCAAAAGAGCTTGTTTGATAACTAGTCGACTTAAGTCAACCTCGAGCTCTAGCTTTCAGATAACGAGTTAAATCAGAATGGCACAAGTCGGTTAATCGATCACACTAAAACAGTGTCATTCTGGCATGGTGCTGGATTTAGATCAAAGCCAGCATCATGCCAGCTTAGCGCTAGATTTCCGAGAAGTTTTTAAGTTTCAAACAATTTATTTATTAAATTTTATAACATGTTGCCAATTTACTCTACCAATTAATATTTTATACAAAGCTCAATATGTTTTATGGCTTGAAATGAGCTTCATAATCAAAAATAAAAAAAATATTCCAACCCTGCTCTTCCACACAATCAACTCCTTCTTATCCAAAACATTTTATTTCATTAAAAAGATACAAGAAAGTAAAAAGTTTTTAAGACAAAAATTTCTAGAACTTTTTCTCAGCCTTTTTTTATTTCATTTCAATTCAAGTCTTCAGTCACATTCTCATAACTGAAAAGGGGTATCCAAAGAGTTGAGGCTCAAAACTCTTAAATGAAAAATAAGTTTACTAGCTCTTAATATCATTAAAAATCATAAACTTCTCTTCTCAATCACTAAGTCTTAAAAATCGATGTAAATGAATGCAATTTTTAAATGAATTACTAATGATGATGTTGAGTGAATGATAAAAAAAGATACGGAATTATCGGCAACTAAATAGATAATAAACAGTGACTTTTTATAGTTATGATAAAAAGATAATAAAATAAGAAAAATGTGAAGAACATGCATTCACAAAAAACATGAGTTGTTTCTGTATAAGAAAATTACTATTTGTATATAAAATAAAATGAGAAATGAGATGATAAATAAAGATTTAATTAAACCAATCAATTTTGAAATGTGCGATGTTATAAATTAATGGTTTTATTTTTGAATATCTCAGAGTTGGACGTTTTGTTGATTTTTTCAGGAATTATTTATTACTTACTTTGCAGCTTTTCTATCAACTATGACTGAGATCATCTACTGATTCAATTTATTACACATGTTACAGTTAACTGATGCTGGATATTGCTTACTATTCTTGGAAATGATAATATTAGATTTTGTTATTGAGTAGTTATGCCAATTTGCTGCCAATGGGATGTTAAATTCAATAATAAATTTGGGAAGAT